GGGATAGTCTAGTCTGTAGATAGAAAGAGAAAGAAAGTTGTAGCTATCAGATCGCGACGTGGTTTCGGGAACAGCACACGAAAGCATGAAAGTTGCGCGAGTACTTTTCAGAGTTCGTATAATGAAAAGCTTCAGTTTCTCCGGTTTCCGAAGACGGCAGCGGAATATTTACTGTGTGTGTGGCAAAAGGACGAAATAAGAAACTTGTGCCGAGAAAGAGCGGCCCTTCAGTGACTTACAGGAGGAAAATTATACCTGTCTCTGGAGAAATACAATCTCGGCGAAAGAGCAGAAGGATGACGAGTAGGAGGGCGACGTCGAGCGACGTCGCGACGCGAAACACCGGCTCGACGTCAACGACGACAAGAGAAAAGACGAGGAAGCAAAAGAAGACTCGAAATAACTTCTCCCCTGTCCACAAACTGACCCCACATATGTCAGCTCGTAGATTAACTTTTTATATTTTGCAATAGGACACGGATATCAAAGTACTACCCACTAGTTATATCTTGCCATGTAGGCACATACATCCACTATCTTCAAATGCAAGATAAAAGGCTAAAAAGAGATTTAAAGAGAAAACCTAAGCGCATTCCCACATTTTCTACGAACCAAAACGTCCTCGTTTCCTTTGCGGCATCTTTGTAAGTAAATAAGCATTTGACTCGCCCACCGTGTATTCTGTATCGTGAATTTTCCTCATGCTGTCTGTAATAACACAAATATAATTTCCTGAGAGCAATACAAACTACTGTAAAATTATTCAAAGATGGTGTTTGCGTCATCGACATTGTCTGTGTAAATCAATTCAAAATGTAATACCGACAGTACAGACAGTATAACAATTACTTGTTATATAGAAACTACGGTATGCACACCATGTCTTACCGGAAGTTGAGTGAGTATCGTGATAGCTCTGCAGTATAGGGGATGTAAAAGTTATACACAAAAAGTACCCTAGTTAATGAATCTTCAATGATTGAGAACGTTTGTCAGGATGGCGGTCGGATATCTTCTCGCCTAAGTGACGAAACACAAGTACGTACTCGTGGCCTTAGTAGCAGCTGGTACGCAGACAGTTTAATTGTACATGATTTGCACCGACGCCACGTTACACAATTACAATTGAGAACCCCGAGTTCTATTTTAAACTAAAAGTCCTTGTAAGTGAGACTGTAAATAGTTTCATTAATTAAGACTTGATATTGAGGACTCTAATTAATACTTATCGCATTTTATTATAGTCTGTATGAATCAATTCAAAATGTAATACCAACACTGCAGTGTAATATAGAAGCATTCCGGAATATTTTAAAAGGTAACATTTGGAGACACTGTAGAGTGAATATTGAGATAACTCTACAACATAGGGGGTGTAAAGGCTATGCACGAAAAGGACCCCAGTTAATGAATCGTCAATGATTGAGAACATTTGTCAGGATGGCGCTCGCGTTATCTTCTCGCCTAAGTGACGAAACACACGCACCTACTCGTGACCTTCGTAGCACCTGGTACGCAGACAGTTGCCAATTGCACATGATTCGCACCGACGCCACGTGACACAATTACAATTGAGAACCCCCAGTTCTATTATAAACTAAAAGCCCCTGTAAGTCAGATAGTAAACAGTTTCTTTAATTAAGAGTTAATATTGAGGACTCTAATTAATACTTATCGCATTTTATTCTCCTTTGTCTATCTAAAATGCGCCAAAAGGGACATGCGCTTTTCATAACCCTATTTCAAAGTTATCAGAAATTGTCTTTTTGCGGTAGTACATGGAGCTATGTACAATAAACTGTCTCTTCCACACGGAACCAACTACCTCTTTGAAGTTAATTATTTCCCGCAAACGTTATGGAAGCTTTTATGAGCGATTGTGTCCTTTGTATGGTTTCTTTTTAGGGAACGGCGATTGCCACTTGCTTTTTTTTTATTTTAGTGCTGTTTTCTTTGTTAGATCGTTATATTTAACGTTTGCGTATAATTGGGTGCCAGCGTGTGATCGTTATTTGATGTTGTATGTCTTCTTTCGTATTACGAACCCATGTTGTGTACGTTCCAATTTAAGGTTGAAAGTCAACATAAAGCCATAACGGTCCATATAATACAGTTTTTTGCATGTTTATGATATGTCAAGGCAGTGTAATATGTTGGCCACTTTTAATCGTTTCCCATTATAAGATTCTCAACAATTATTTTATTATATTAATTATGAAAAGTTTATTTATTTCTTTGCATACCATTAGGTTTTTGTAGATTTCTCCTTTCCATTTTTATCTTTACTTTTTAACTCAGTTTCTGTATGCATTTTCATAAAATAGCAATTAAACATTAAAGACAATTGTTGTTGGTATTTATGAAAATTTCTGCTTAGAAGAATTTTCAAAAAAAATGTAAGTCTCGGATCAAATGAGCAAGACCAAGACTTAACACACAAGACTAAGATGAATACCAAGACTTAACACGCAAGACGAATATCAAGATTAAAACTTAACACGCACGACCAAGACCAAGATAAAGACGAAGACTTAACATACAAGACCAAGATCAGAACCAAGATTTAACACGCAAGCTCAAGACCTAGACATAAGACGCAAGACCAATATCAAGATCAAGACTTAACACGGACGACCAAGTCCAAAATCAAGACCAAGACTTAACATGCAAGACAAAGATCAAGATCAACACTAAGACTTAATACGCAAGACCAAGACAAAGACGAAGACTTAACATACAAGACCAAGATCAGAACCAAGATTTAACACGAAAGACCAAGATCAAGACCTAGACATAAGACGCAAGACCAATATCAAGATCAAGACTTAACACGGACGACCAAGTCCAAAATCAAGACCAAGACTTAACATGCAAGACCAAGATCAAGATCAACACTAAGACTTAATACGCAAGACCAATACTGGAACGATTTGAGCAAGACATACCTACTAAAAAAGCACATATAATGTTTTGAATCACAAGTTGTTTTCCTCTTGATTTTGTTGTTTTTACCTCCTTTTTCTTTTTGAGTAAGTAACTCAATACATTTTTTTAACCATATTACGTTCAGGGCTTTTTCTTACATTAAATCACCTTTTGCAATATAGGTAGGAGCAACATTATAACGTAGAGAACAACTCCTTTTATTGGTCCCTCTAGTTCTATTTTAAATTTTTATTAGATGATGCATATTTCAAGGAGTCCATTTATCCATTTACATATTTTTTACACAACTTTTTATCTTCATCTTTAACAGTTCCTCCGGTTGTTTTTCCCTTTTTTATTATTATTACAGCCCGATATTATGAGGGGTACATTAAGAAATAGTGTCGTTTGTAGAAAATTGTTTTTAACTGGCAGAGGTTATATATTGTCACAAAAAAGAGAGAGAGATCTCAAGTGTTGTGGTAACACGTTCCATAAAACTTGATTTAAAGCGTGGAAATTGTATACAATGTGTCCCAAATGTGCAGTTTCAACTTTTGTTATATTTTTCCTCTAGTAACGTTTTTTGTACAATACTTTGCAATCAAAATAAATTGTTCAAATCAGTGACCAAATGTATAGCTTTACATGGATACTGTTTCATGCTTTGATCTTTTATAAAATTCACCGGGATTTTCTGGTAATTTGTTTAACGATTAACATGTAAATAGACCGTTAATGACACGGTCTAGTTGTGAAAATAACTGCCAATAATCCAGCAGAAATTTCTGTAAAAGTAAACAGCGAAAATTATGAATTTTGATTGGAATTTATTATTATATTTTAGAACTTTGCATCATTAAATTCGGTTATTTTTACAATTAACATATATTCGGGTTTTTATCTCAGCCGTGGAATTCTGTGTACGTCACTGCCTTGCCGGCAGAATATAATACGTCTGAGCAAACTGTTTTACGATTTATTATTAGACATATTTCACGAGTTTCTTATATCTTAGGTAAATAATAACTCTGTTCTTCGACCAGTGCCGTATAAATATTTCTTTTCTTGTAAAGAAAAAATTACATTCCTTGCGTGTGTACCGTAGACCTAATAAGAAAATTTGCTATCGGCATCCAATAAGACAATTTATCGTGATCGGTAATGTTACAGAAATCCTACAGGGGTCATTTTTTTCAACCTCCGACAGATCATGCATAAATAAAGGTCATATAAATATAAAGGACTTGTGATTAGATCTGATTCTTCATTCATTCATTATTTATTGAATAAGGGAAGGTATGTATACTGTAATGAATAAATTATTTCATTACTAAAAGTTATGTACACATATTTATGGTTACTTTTCGAAATGTACCTCGACGAGGAATGAGTCGTTACACACTCTTCGCAATATGTTTCCGCAAATGAATTTAAATTAAATTTTGATGTTCCCTTGAAGGTTCTTGAAACAGGGATAAGCTTGGGCAGCTATTTAAAGCACAAAAGGGGACATTCGGACGTTTTAGATAAGTTGTCGCGTCTGGGTTGTTTTATTTAAAATCTGCAACATTAGACATTACAAGTTATTACTTTAACGAGACAAAAACCAAAGAGAAAATATATTTTTTAGAAAAAGGTTTGTTCACCATTATAAGGAAGATTTTATTTCTTGTAACTTGTAAATCGATTAATATAGTGGAAATGTAAGTCATTTGCCAAGTTTCTACCGTTGTTGTTTTTTATTTTTACAACTACCAAAGGTCAAAAAGGAACCGTTTGTGTGTTATATTTGTTAGTTGCATCGTATTTATAAATATTAGGAAAAACATTCCCCCAGTTCTTAGTGCCACTCCCTATGGATTCATGAACTACCCTCATCTGCGAACCCCCTGTTTACAGTGATTGAATAGAGTATGCTACGACGATTGACCCTTAAATTCGATTTTAGGGCAATATGGGTATTTTTGCCCTATTCGGTATAGTATTCAAAAAATAAATTAACCACTTTTAAACTTTTCATAATATGTTTTTGTACAAAATCTGAATATTAATTCTGAGTTAAATCTTTTCAGGTATGGAAGCAATAATGTCAGAATTTTTCAATGATACTTCAACAGCTTTCTACATCATTCTGATAGTTTGGATGGCAGATCAGTACGATGCCATTTGCTGTCACACATCAATAACAAAAAGACACTGGTTGCGGTAAGTGAAATTGTTGATTTTTTGTTGTTGTAGTCGATACTTAACCTAACTCGTTAATATTGTGACCAGATAATTATATCAGTGGCTTGAAAATTCGTAGGAATAGATTTTTCTCCATCGTGCCCCTTTGAATAGTGTTTCGTTACTAATTGTTCAAACTTGTTGTTGTTCAACGCTGCAACAACGCCAGTCGCATGGTTTGATTAGTTCCTGACCCTATGGTTTTAATAAAATTACATTTGCCACACGGTTTGGTCTACAAAGTTAATAGAAATTATCCTTCAACAGTTATTAATGCATATGTAAATGCTTCGTTGTAGTGACTTCGCGAAACTTCATAATCTAAACCAAAACTGTTCAACTCCATCAAATAAATTTAATAAGTGTAACGGTAAAGCAGAAGTCTTCCTTAATTCGAATGTATCTGGTTGCATTTAGGAAATTCGAATTACGGAAATTTAACGTTGTATATAGTGTATAATAATAATTATCTATACCACGATATCTGATAATTATTACTATCAAAAAAAATGTCAGAATAATGCAGGAATACTTATCGTGCTTGAACGTTATGTTACAACACGGTTATACGAAGGATAATGAAATTTTATGAGGATTTGTCTCATCATCATAAGGTCGTCAGTCCTAAGACTGAATGAACACGCGCCTTCACTTTTTCCTGTCTTGAGCTAATCTTCGTATTTCCCTAACACTAGCACATCCCAAATTCTTAACTATTTGTGAAAAGTAAACCAATCTACCTCTACTCCTCTTAACTCCCATTTCTGACTGTTATATGTCTCTGACTAGCCCTTCATTCCTTAGAAGGGTAGGTGTCCTATTAACCTATCTCGCCTATTTCTTATTGACTTTCATAAAGTCCTTTGTTCACCTATTCTTTCTAATACCTGTTCATTTTTAACCTTCTCTGCCCACGGTATCCTTATCATTCGCATGTAACAACTACTTATAATGATATTTCTAAAAACAATTTTTTTTGTTATAATATAGATGGACTAATATTTGAGAGGTATTTACTATTATAAAGAGCACACCTTGACTAAATCGGGTTCAATTTAAAAATAAGCAATCATTAGTTCGTTATCGGAAAGTGGTCAAGTCTGTTTTGATATCTGTTATTTTTACATTAGTGAAAGCAGACGTTTATGAAAGTATTGTATTTTAGGCCTTTTATAAATAAACCAACAAAGTTTGATCTTCCTTTTTTTTTGTTTTTGGACCGTTGTATGGTGAATTTATATCGAAATACAAAGCTACTGACCCTTCGACATAAGTATTGTAGGTATGGAATGAAACGAGTTGTTTTTGAGGCAATATCAGAGGACTTTTATTTCGGATTATAAGACTTTTTTTTGTTCTCGTTTCTTTTTTCCCTTTTTCTTAATAAAGTACACGATAAATACCGGCCACGGTATCCCTTCAAGAAGAAATAATTGATCTGACATCAGCTAGTCGGTTTCGAGCTCGGTCGATTTTCGATTTGTGACGGATACGCGATTCAGAAATATAAGTAGTACGTAGGCGATACAACAATACGACTCGCCCGCCGATTTATACGTAAACACAGATAAATGTTGACGGATTTGTAAGAAAGCAATCAGTCTAGCGCCATGAGCCATTTATCTCCTCTGACCCCACTGTTTCTCGATCCCTCCACTTGTGTCATGCACGAATATCACCAACTAACTCTGTGCTGTGTTCTGTATCAATATTTTTAGCTAACTTTTCTATTCTATATTGGGATCCGTCAAACGGGAGGAGCCTAAGAACATGGCGCCGATTAGGGAAAATTTATCGTAGTTGCTATAGTGTGCCGTGCAATTACCAAGTTTTTAAATTACGATAAAATGATAAGTATTGACACAATATGTGATTGGGTTGACACAAAACCTCGGAAAGGAAATTTCGTTGAAGGTGAGCGTGTTTTTAATGTCTAGTCACATTATAAAATTCGGAAATAACAAATTCCGTCAAGTTTACTGCCTACTTTTTACAAACTTCGGATTTAAAAAGTGATTCATGTTATATAATTGGTGAGGTGATTCTGAGTGATTTAAGCAATATCATGTCAATGACTTGCACGTGCAAAGCCGATTTAAGATAACATTGCAAACACATTATTGCAACTTTGTTGTATTGCAGCAGGTAGGTTCTTAACCTCAAAATACTTATATCGTATCATTAGAATTGTGTTAAATCAATTACACAGGAATAAAAAATTTCTCACTTTATAATTTTAGTATGATTCTAGTTTTAAATATTAAGGTTATGGCTGATGGTAAATACTTGCTGAAATATAATCATGTGCATTAAAATGACGTGAACAAATTTTTATTCCGGAATTCACTTCTTTGATACCTACTGCTTTCATCCAAGCTTCTATTAGTTTACTTTTTTCTCTAATTTTCCGAATATATTTTTTACATATATAAAACGGTTAGTTTTTATTGGAAAGTAGTTAATGTAGGTGAAGAGTGAAGATCTATGTCTGAAGTGCTATTGCAGCTTTTCACTGAACATATTAACTTTTTATTTGATTTAACTTTAGAAGAAAACTTCGTCGACTCCATCATTTTACTTTTTTAACGTGTTTTATTATTTTAATAAACAATTTTACAATTTGCGCGCACAGTTCCTATGTAAATTTTTCCCTCATTCCAGTTATAAATTTTGCCACCAGATGGTGTATGCCCATTTGACGGATCCCAATAGAGATGACCAAACAATTATTGTAGCGACAAATAGAAAAATTTGTTGTGAGATGAAACGTAAAGACAATATCAGATTAAATGAGCAAGAGCAAGACTTAACACCTAAGACAAAGACCAAAATCAAATAAGCAAGACCAAGACCAATACTAAGATTAAGACGACTTAAAAAAGAAAAAAATTCTGACAAAGAAATGTGTGATTTCTGAACATTTCGCCTTATTTGTATAAAATTATTTATCCAATGATCTGTTATGTACTTTTACTACTGTAGTTTTACCTGACTGTTTAGTTTTCCCTTTAACACTTCCTGTATATCCCTTCTGGCTGTTAGGTTCAATCAATTCATTCATAACATTTAGTGTCATTGGAAATAGTTGCACTAAAACTTATTTTCAATGAGACCTAACACCGACAACGAATAAGTAATAGTAATTACCTAATTGTCTGAAAATTATAATGTCGATCAAAAAGACAACGATGTCTTTTTATTCACTTGTGCCAATTGTAATAATTTTTACGTTGGGCAAACTGATGGATGGATATCTACAAGAACAAGAGAACATATGAATGTGTTCAGGCAATTGAAAATCACACCCTTAACTGAATATATGCATGCAGTAGTCATAATCATAAGCTATTACACATCGAAGGAAGAAGCTACTAATGAAATTAGAAACTGATAAGGTGATCGGTAATAATCAACCGAAAAGTACCTAAAGCTATTTCGAAAAATTTGCTGGTACCTGCCAGAAATACTTTACCGAGTTTTGTAAACTTCTGTACTTGTCGAGTGTGTAATATCACTGTCGTTGCTAGAAAGATATTGTGGACTTTATTATGTGACAAAACTCAAACAATAACCCCTGGTGGGAGACATTACTTTGCCCATTTACCGTTGACAGTCTATTTTTGGTTTTTGCTCTCGTTGACAAAATAAAGCTACAGTTTATTGTCCTAATCGATATTTGGTATGTTTATATACGAGCACGCCTATAAACGAATTTTCTAACGATTTTCATGCAGAACCCGCGAAACTCCAATTATAGTAGGTGCTTTCAAAAATAAATAAAGCGTTCGTTGTAGTCCTTGGAAAATCATTGCACAGGGCAAATTTTGATATGAAAATCTGAAAATTATTATTAACTAGCGACCCGCCCCAGCTTCGCACGGATGCAATGCTCATTACTAAATATACTGTTGTTTTGTTTAGATTATTATCGAGGAGGGGAAATCTTCAAAAGACACCCCCTGAACATACTAAATATACTACAGAATGTCTTTATATGAAACATTCACAGTTTTTTTTTGTAATTAGACAACACAAACCGGCCTCCCAGCCGGTATCGCCGTAACCGCTATGTCCCTGCATTTTAAATCTGTAATTTTTTCGAAAATATGAATTTAAAATTACATGCTGTAAAGATCCATATTGATCTATATTAAATGCACAATGTTATTTAGCGTACTTAATTGTTTAAGAATTAATGCTGTATTGCTTATAATCGCTTCGTAAATAAGTCATTATTCCTCATAAAAAGTAGAGGATAAAAAATGGTTCTTGTGGGTTATCCCTAAGAGATAGACATATACAATAACGGACTTTATTGTCGACCTTTTTAATATGTACAATACTGTAGTACATTATTTTGATCTATCTTGTAAGGTTCAGCCAGCGTTTGCAATGTAAGCGCAAATAAATGTGTTTATTTACGACATCACATTAGAAACCTCTAAAATTATCAGTGTTTCCCTACTATATTATGCATGTATTATACACATATACCTTCCTCTTGAATCACTTTATCTTCTAAAAAAAACGCATCAAAATCCGTTGCGTAGTTTTAAAGATTTAAGCATACGTAGGGACAGACAGCGGGAAAGCGACTTTGTTTTATACTATGTAGTGATAAGTTGATTTTTCTTTATGTGTAAAAGGAAAACTGTATTGTTTGCACAATTAAAATGCCGATAATTAAGATACGTAACCTTTGTGCACTGAAGACATCAAATATCGTTTTCGAATGTACACAAAATATTTATTGTTTCTTGTGATTACTAAAACTACATCACTTAGTGTTTCAGTTTTTTGCCACTATCATAACCCACTAAACGATTAAACACTACGTATTAAATTCGTACGGTATGTACTTGAAAACTCATCCCGAAATCGTGTTTTACCGAAAGAAAATTATTTTGTGGAGTAATGATGTTCATAAACAACGTATAAGGAGATAGTTTAACTAACCGGCGGAACTGAGAATGGGCTTT